CACACGCGCACACACACACGCGCACACACACACACACGCACACATACACACACACACACAGACACACACACGCACAACCACACACACAACCACACACACACACACACACACACACACACACACACACACACACACACACACACACACGCGCACACACACACGCGCACACACACACACACGCACACATACACACACACACACAGACACACACACGCACAACCACACACACAACCACACACACACACACACACACACACACACACACACACACACACACACATATACACGTGCTCACACACACGCACCCACACACACACGCACACACACACACACACACGCACACACCCACACACACGCACACACACACACACACACACACACACGCACACACACACACGCACACATACACACACATGCACACACATGCACACACACACACACACACACACACACACACACACACACACACACACACACACACACACACACACAGACACACACATAGTCAGTCAAGGAGAGGAAACACTTCTCAACTTCATTCGACCTATTCTGAAGTTGAAATCCTTGATTGTAGCAATGAGTTTCTGAGCCATAACTACACACAATACAGTATAGCCATATAGCCACGACACAACAGTAGGACCAACTGAAGTAGTAGCAGTTCTATTCCTATTGAGAGTGCCAAAGTATGAGAAATGCACTCCTGAAGCACCAGACCCACCATTGATACTGGTACTACTCCTCCCCCCACGCCCAACACCACCACTCGCATAGCTACGACTACTTTTATTGTTACTGCTACTGTTCTCATGATCACCACTGCAGCCATCAGCAGCTACAACAATCATATGACCGGTGTCGACTGGTGTTTGCATTGTTGCGGTCGGCGATCATGTGCATCCGCGGTGCTCGATCGTCATATCACCGTCCTGTGAATGCATTGCGAGAGTTGGCAATCTGGGAGGGCCGGCTGTGAGGTTTTGGAGACGATGGTGGGCAGGACAGTGCCCTTGTATTTTCCTGGGTTTTTTTGTTTCTCGTTTTTGCGTTTTTTTTCACACATACAATTGTTTTCATTTTTTGGTGTTGTGTTCTAATCATTCGCCATGCCACTGTCAATTGTATTCTGTTTGCCCGTAAAAGAGGTCTTTACAACAATCATGGCCGCATCACCAATAAAGTAACAAATGATTACAAAATAACCCCACTTGGAGAACTAGGGACGCAAGTGTTTGGGAAAGTAAAATCCAAGCTGCTGTGCACCAGCGAGCAGCAGTTTATACATGTAGGTGACTTGAGATCATGTCATCCAAAAAACTGTCCCTGGACTTTGAATTTCCTCCTGTTCAGTGATTTCTTCTTGCCACCATCAACACTGCAGTCTTGACTCACTGGGCTAAACACAGCCAGACTAGCGATACCAAAATTATGCGAACCTACATGTATCTGCCATGCCTCAATGGTGACTGGATCGGACAAAAAGAGAGCGAAACCCTCATTGTTTGGTGTTTTAGTCACCCGTGTGGGCTCTCCAGCTTGATACTATAACTCCCTGACATAATTATACCAAGCAGTGGCCGGACACCAACACAATGTGACCACATTCGGTTCTCCGTACTTGAAAAATTTCCAAGTTAAAATCTATCCAGAATCCATTTGTCACAGCTGCACATGCCGCATCCAGTGATAAGGGCCGGGTTCCACTGCGGCTCCGCTGCACCACGGCACTTGGCTGCATGCAGCGGAGTTCCATTCGCGGTACCGCGGTTGTGGTCCACTTTTTTTGACGACGTTTTACCTGCCTACCCGCGCGAAATCAAAAAAATCCCGATCATCTGGCCTGCGCAACGCATTAAATTTTGAATTTTAAAATTCTCGCGTACAAAACAATGCAAAGTACGGGAAACAGGTGGAGCCGCGACTGCGGCTCGCAGTTTTTGGTCAATAATCATAGCGAAAGCTCGCGGTGAGCCGCGGTCACTATGGTAATGATGACGTTTCAAGCGTCGAAAGACGAGCAGCGGAGCCGCAGTGGAACCTGGCCCTTATGAAGAGGATGTATTTTTAGCAATTGTGAATAACTTACCAGGCACATTCTCATCTTCCATCTCACTGCAGCTGTGTGCAGAGATAACTCGGCGCGGACTGTCCTATGCGGCAGCTGCAACCAAACACAACCAACAGTGCGACAATTGAGTAACTCAATGTCTTTAAAATAATAACACTATGATGATATACACCAGCACAGACCACATTGCAAAAAAAAGGCCCCCTCGTTGAATTGAGGGTGACTCGGAGCATTGTGGGTGCACTTCAAATCCCAGTGGAGTGACAAGTTTTGATCCTGCTATCCTTCTCGGTAATATGCAAAGGGCTTACTCTTCCGGTGATTTCTCTAGGGTCAAGATTTATAAAATTAATTTATTTAGATAGCCACAAACACCAGCAGGCAATCAAGGGGTGGCACATAGCGGTGTTAGCCAAAGCAGCTAAACCGACAATGGGTTTCCATCATCAACACTGCTCGTGCGCCCCAGGTGATGGTAGACAGTGGTTATTGAGCTATCACTCTCATAACAGCCAAACACAAAAAACGTGAATTCTCAGACAGCGGCAGCTACAAAGGCGTCACCCTGCCAAAGTGTGACACCCATACAGAACGACTGCACGCTGTATGGAATGTTGTTAGAAACAGTGGCTGGAGTCTCTCAATGATTATCAGGATCAGGTACCGTATTTTCTCGTTTATACACCGCACTTTTTAACACTCACAATTCACACCCAGAAGTCAGTTCGGCTTATACACTGTGGTCAAATGAATTGTGAAATAGAGGGTAAAAGCATGTCGCTATTCACGAATTGTCGTTATTCAGATAGTCGTTATATCCGAAGTGAAATGTATACAGTTAGAT